TGTATTGATACATAAATTTTCCTATTTGAAGGCTGTAGATACTCTCAAGATTCAGAATTTTTAAATTTTTAAATAAGGGGTCAGTGTGAGCATCGAAAGCACTCCTCGACATTATTCTTACGACCCGTTTTTGAAGTGTGATTAGTCTTCTGAGGTTTGATGGGTAGGTCGATGCCCAGACGCTCACGCAGTAGAATAAGTATGGGTAGATAAGGCTAATTTAAAGCATCCGTAAGGAGGAATTATTAAGGCAAAAACTTGATTTATAAATTATACCTATGGCTTTAGACACTTTCCTAGCAACATTATGTATATGTGATTTCCATGTTAAATGTTCATCCAAAATTACACCAAGAAAAGTAGCTTCCTTAACACGGTCAATCGAATAATTACTAATATTAAAAGCTAAATCAAGTGTTTGCCTGTTTTGTCTCGGTCTGAATATGATAAAATTAGATTTCTTAACATTAATAGATAGCTTATTTGTATAAAACCAACACGTTATCTTTTTCAATTCTAAATTTACAACTTCCATAAGATAGGAAGAATAGAAGATATTAGTGTCATCAGCAAATAGTATCAGCTCTAAGACCTTTGACACATTACATAGATCATTTATATATACGAGAAGAGAATGTATGGCATCGAAATTTAGGCTGACAATTATTGAAATACATGCTGTTTCGACCAAAAGTTCTTTTCAAAATCCGGAGTTGCTTAGTTTATACAGAAACACAGAGATCAGACCATTATATCAGGTGGTCGCCTAGATGAGGTTAAGAACAAAGGAAAATTCTAAAATCGCCATCTTAGAAAAGTTGTCGCGGTCTCTGACGACAGGTCGTCGTTTAAGCCCGGGGGAAGTTGCAACTAAAGGCCTCCGTATGGGAAAATTTTAGTCTTTTAAATAGATGGTCGCTTATTGCAGGTGGTCGCTTACTAGAAGACTCGATTTCGATTGTGAAGGAAAAGTAAGTCTTGAATTATGCCTCCATTTCCACATATAAAACCTTCAGTTGTTTCTAAACCAAGTAAAATCTCTACACGGAAGTTGAAGAAATCCAGCTGGACATGTAAATGAGAACCTTGATATTTATAGCAACACAAAATAGCTACAGTTAAATATTCGCATTTCCTGTTTATAAACATGCAAACAGAGATGTCAATGAAGTATGTCTTGGTGATATAATGTCCTTAACCTCGGGCAGAATGGAGCTGTACGTTCATATTGGTGCTTTTAGCCTCCGTTAGTTATTTAAACAAACACGAACGAGGTGCACTTACTCGCTCTATTAAGAGTTTGCCTGTGCCAATCGCAGGATGTTGTTACGGCAACGCAAATTTAAAACCACAATCGCCACCAGTAATTTTGTATCCGCTGAAATTTCTTCTTTTTATTAATGAGCAGTTTTCGTCAATAATAGCCCAATTTCTAGCATTGAAAATTTCCGGCTTCATTTTATTGTTATTTTTTAAGCTCAGCTACCTTTTACTAGGATATCGACCCCGTACTACAATACTTTAAACAGTCTTAACAGTTGACCACTTTCCGCAAAAACCAATTACTGAAAGGATTTAAGTTAAGAAAAATGACGTAATAAACAAAATGACTACCTGAAAATATAGAATCCTAGTGGTGGATAAGGCACCGAAATCCTTGTTCTTTAATTGAATTCTCAGGGCTAATTCAATAACGAAATGTTTGGCGATCAGTCTAGAGAGAATTTATATCGTGGATATTGGGTTTTTAAAAATGGTTAATCCTTAGAACCAAGAACCAAATAAAGGTTTGTGCAAATTCTGACATGTAGGAGAGGTAGTAAAGGCGCCGGATCACATTTCCTAGCCGTTCCATGTAAGGCAGACAGAAATCCGGGAGATTCTTGCTTGTTGAATCCGAACTCTGAAAAAATTTTGCTTGTGAAATTTGGAATCCTGGGCTTTGGAATTCGGAATACCGCTCGAGAAACCTGGAATCTCACTAATGATTGGAATCCAGAATAGAAGGTCCCCTCACAAAGACTGAGATTTAGTACCTGGAATCCGGAATTCATGGCGTCGAATCCAGAATCGACGGACTGTCTCGGATTTCCTAGCCTGCGTCGCAGACGTAATTTAACCCCGTGTAGTAAAGTTTACAAGGCATCGCCGAAATCCTTGTTCTGGACCCCTAACGGACTACCGGAAATTACCGAATTACCGGAAATGCGTTTCGAATTTGCTTTCAACCTGATTGGCTTTTTTTTAACGGGCCAATCATGGCGCGTATTCAAATCCTGGTACACAGGTGGAGGCCTAGCTAGAACTGTTTCGCAGATGGACTTAACCAAAGTTTAGTTTCGACTGTGGCGCAGGCAAGGATTCCCTACCCTTACATGGAACGATCCTAGCCTGTCTAACAAGCGGTAATTTTAGTATGTTTTTCGTTGAGTTTCGTAAAGAAAGAGCTCAAACGAGAAAATGAAGGGGGTCAGAGGGCAAAAGGAACATCGTTTTTCTTGTGTGGCTTCTTTTTTTTCTTTCGTGCTGCGCAAGTCTCTTTCATTACGAACCACAAGGAAAAAAAACACTGAAAACCGCATATTACGCAGTTTACCACAGTTCCTTAATGGAAAAAAAGTAATTACTCAACATAACTAATTAATTGATCTCAGTGACGATGAAATTCAAATTTACCCCTACTAAGAGACTTCCCCGAGGACCGAGTTTTCTGACTAGTGTTTTCTAGTAAGAGTTTTAAAGAACCTTTCGATGAACCGTAAAATTCTGCTCCGGCACGTCTTCACGTTTGGTTGTTATTTTTATTTATTTGTTTATTATTTTATTTTCTTCTATTTTATTACTATTTTTTGGCAAAATATACTTTCTTTTCGCTGAAAATTTAAAAAGCACCCAGCCTGGAAGAAGCGCTCACACTCCGTCAGGGCCAAAAATTCAATAAGCGCTCAGACCGCTTGATCGAATCAACACGGTAAGTTGGGAAAGGAAGTTTGACCGTCTTGTTTCAAAAGTCTCAGTTAATTTCTTGAATTATCTACGTTGACTAACCTTTCTAAAACTAAATCATTGGATATCATTTGAAATTTTACCGAGAAAAATCCATCGGGCTTATGTATGATGGACACCACAAAAATGGGCTAGGAGAAGGGGTGGCCTTAATCAGGACTCACGTTAACGGATGTCAATATGCCTTCCTTTGTGCAGTCCATGTGTGACCGTTCGCCCTGTAAGAACACTGGAAAATGCATTCCCTTGTACCAGAGAAATGGATATAAGTGTATCTGCATGAAAGGATTCACGGGAAGAAACTGCGAAACGGGTAAGAAATGCTTAGAATACTTTTTGTTGTTTTCGTTGTTTTGCTGTCCATACTACATATCGTTGATATCAATGAATTGCTGTATTGCACACACTGATAAAAAAAAATCTTATCTCCTATCATATCTCCTCCATATGTAAACGAGTATCAGAGCATAAGAACATTCCCTGTTTAACAACGGAAAGTGCAACGACCAAATCAATGCATTCAACTGCAGTTGCCCGCCAGGTATCGGTGTGAGATTGGTTAGAACAGTCTTTCAGCTGTAATTTCCCATGCTCTATTATAAACAGGCTTCCTTGTTTTGATGCGTCTTTTGATATTATTCCGTTACAGACATAAACGAGTGTAGGAGCAGCCCTTGTCTTAACAACGGAACATGCAACGACCGAATCAACGGATTCAACTGCAGTTGTCCAGCTGGATTTGCTGGGAAACTATGTGAAATAGGTGGGAGAAAAGAGTGGTAAATGATAGAACTGACAAATAATTTTTGTGGATATACTGTATTAATGTGAGATTGGTTAGAACAGTCTTTCAGCTGTAATTTCCTATTGCCAATCCTCTATAAACAGGCGTATTTCTTTTGATGCGTCTTGCTTTTTTTTTTTTTTTGGCGTTCTCGTAACAGTCGCGTCGTTGGATCGTAAAGTCCGTAGTTTCACAAAGCACTCCGAGTCTTAAAAATACAAACCTTTTGTGGACTATGTCTGTTGTACTTTAATGTTCTTGAAGTTTGAGGACTTTAAGACTTGCAAAAAACAATTTTAAAGCTAGTAGGTTAACTATAACCCGTAAAAGGTGTTTACACAACTGAAAACATCTTAGTTAAAACGACTTCCAAAATCAGTGTACTATAATGATAAATGGCCGAATCTTCTGACTTTTCTCCTATGAAAAGATCTGAGGCTACCATCTCTGATAGGTTGTTTGGTACAGTCAAACCTACAAGTAACGGCCACGAGACCGTTGTAGAGGGGGTTGTTTTATACTTGAGGAACGTCCACCAGGATGATAAAAGCGAAGAAAGGTTGCCGTTACTAGAGGTTCGATTGTATTCGAGAGGGCGTAATTACCGGTTTTTATGTTCAAGAGTCATTACCCGTTTGGACGAACTTGGGAAAACATTGATCAAGGCTAAATTTTGCGAAGATCTTACTTTCAGTAATACTCTTTGAGTCGTTACGTCTGTGGAAGGTCAGAATCTGTTTTCTGTCTGCCCTGGGCTTCACGTGTATTTTTTCCATGCCAAGTTTTCCTAGCTTATGGAAGGTTATCTTCAGAATAGCGGTCTCATTTCATTTAACTAGTATGAACAAGGATTCAGGTCTGGGTGAAATTCCCACAACTTTCTTTATTGACTGAATACTGATTTGAAAGTGTTTGCCGTCAATTTTGTAACATCACCCTGCACTGGCAATGCCATCTGCGTTCTTTATTCTGGATTTGATTTTTCCCGCAAATGTTCGCATAGACAGGGTCATCACGACTTACCTTGTGGACTTCCTGTAGTGGACTGCGTATACTTTGAAAGTAATTTATCCTTGGAAAAAAATTGTCACTCATCTCTGCCGTATGATTCGCGAACGCAGGTTGGCTAGAGGATGGCTGCACTAGATATAAACGCTTGGGAAACCAACTCATATTTTATCATTCACCCTTAGATATTATATCGAGTGTGGTAACACGGTTTCTTTCGCCTGCAATTGGGAATGACAGCAACTGGGCGCTGTGTTGGCAGACCTCCACTCATGGCTGGGCTGCCAGTACCTTTCACAACAAATGCGATGGGAAACGTCACACGATTACAATCATCAAAAAAGACCAGTACGTGTTCGGAGGATACACGAATATTCCTTGGAGTAAGTAAAACGTCCTTTTTGTCACTGAAAATGGGAATAAGGCACTTTGCTTGTATAGTGCGTTTGTAGTTTGTGGTCTATAGTCACTTTACTTCTAATCTAATGTTACAAAATAATTAATTCCAAAAACTTGCCTTTCCTTTTTGCTGCCTACAGAAGTTTCTACCTGATTCTTCCCCTCTTTAAGATGCCCTGAACCAGCAAAAATCCACTGCTCCTTCTCCGCCTATTTGTGGCAATAACCGACAAATGCGCGATTGCGTTACATCACTTGAATGACGATAACCTTATGTCTTTGGCTAATCTCTACGTCGCATAAAACTCAGCGAGAAAAAGTTTAGTGTGTGACAAAGATGAATGTGATACACTCACTGACAATTTTTTTAAACAGGCTGAGAAAGACGGTCCTTCCTATAAATTTTTGTTACAGCTTCATATAAGTAAAGAATACTTCGATTTATCAACGTTAACTGTTTGGACTAACTAGAGCACGAGTCTTTTTGGTTTTTTGCTATGTATTAATAAAAGTTAAAGTTAAGTTTACGAGACATTATTTTTAGTATTTCTGGCAGCTCATAGCTCTGAGATTCGAGGGAAACAAAGTTAACTGTTACCCGAGGGACCAGTCTTTAAGTGATTTGTTATATAGCGCACGAAGAAGAACATTTTTTCGTGTACGAATTTATGAAAATAAATCTTGCGAGCGGTCAACATTCGCGGGTAACAGTGCACTGTTACCCCCTGACGTCATAGATTTTACAATGTTGCCCGCTCAGAGTTTTTGGCGTGAAACAGTTTCATTGTTAGATGTCATGTGACCTCGAAGTAAACAATGAGAGCTCGCGCTGTTGGTAAAAAAATTCCAGCTATATAACAACAGTCATAATTCTCTGCTGAAATTTTATATTATTTTTTTTTCCATTGAGCATCAGTCATCAAGACAAGGGTGTTATATGTTTAATTCAACAAGAAAGAAAAGCGGTGAGACAAACTGACTCATCACCACGTTTACTTTTGACTTTAGGGCTTTGTCCTAACAATTGGATCCATCTACAAGGTTCATGCTACAGAGTCCCGTCAAAGAGTTTGAGCTGGACCGCTGCAAAATCTGACTGTGAAGCTCAGGGGGCTAAGCTCGCCATAGTGACATCACAAGCCGAACAACAAGCACTAGTCTCGAAAATATCACAAAATGTATGGATTGGTTTGGGGAGGGACCCCAATGTCCATTCACGTTGGTTGTGGGTTGATGGATCAATAGCGTCATATACTCACTGGTCTCCTGGAGAACCCAACGACTCTGGAGGTGTTGAGGATTGCGCACATATGTTTCCTCCTGCAGGAAAATGGAATGATCAACCATGTTCCAGCAGTCTTAAATACCTTTGTGAAACCAATGGTAGGCAGCACCACGATTGTGTGCTTAATATTCTACTAATTATTATGGTATATCCAGTGTATGGCTGTAGCTGGGAAGCACCACAATGTAAAGCTTGATGAATTACTCTTACTACGAATGGTTGACGTGTATATAAATTTTAAAAGAGAAGCCTTTGACATTTCCCTGGATTTTATCCTTGCATTTAATTTCAATCACTGCTTCCCTCCCCCCCCCACCAAAAGAAGGGGGAGGTGAACATTATACCTAACATTAGGGTGATAGTTGTTTTACTATTTCCGAATCAGTTTAAAAACGAGAACAACTTTTGCAAATAAAAGTTTTCACTTAAGTAAGATTTTTCTAAACCAAAATTTATCACTTTTTTGGTATTTGTCGGTACAGATGCCTTATTTTTCGATTAAATATCGCCTTCAGGAACTGTCGGGAAACGGAACGCGTATTGACTCCTACCCTATACAGTGAGTTATTAGGAAGCTTAAGCAACAAGGACGGCGACGGCTACGAAAACGTCACTTATAAAGTGAATTCGCGCTGCTTCAAACTTATCGCCCTTATTCCATCTCGTTGAATTCGTCAAATGTTGCCAGATTTTTCTGGAGTTGAATGCTAAAAGACTGCATCGAACTTCAGGAAAAGAAAGAGAAAGTCGTTGTCTTGTGTTCAAGTACTCCACAAAACGAGAAATTAGGCACTTTCATGTTGTAGTCGTACAGTTACCTCAAACAAATGTACAAAAAGCGTTATGCACTTGCAAAGCTGTTGTTTTGTTAATCTAAACCTATTGCTTTTTTGCTGTTCTTGTTGCCGTCGCCGTCATCGTTGCTTAAGCTTCCTAATAGCCAAGAGTACTTTAAGTTACCCAAAAATTGCTATTCACTCATTTGTTAAGGGGACTATGTCACGTTATTTGCTATGTTTTTGTTTTTGTTTGTTTTTGTTTTGTTTTGAATTGGAAAATTAGTACATGTAATTTCATTGTGTTATTTGAGACTAACTTTAGGCATTGCAACTGTTCCTTGTGGTCTGTTCAGTGCAATTATCGATGACAACGATAGACATCAGATTGAAACTTGGAAAAGTCCTGCCAACTTTTAATGTTATGACTACAAAAATCCCACCAAATTTATTATTGGTTAGTGCTCCCTGATGAAATTTGTTTGATATCTTCTTCGTAACTCGAAAGGACTATTTTGTGTAATGAGTAAACGCACAATTCAATTCTTGACTCAGATTGACCTAAAACAGCAATATCCCTGTGACGTATCCCCTTCATTTATAAAAAACTGAATCATTAGTAGTGCAATTCAAAGTGGACAGACTGCAAATTATAGTAGTTGCTAAAAAACATATATCTTCGTGTCGCTACGTGACCTTTGCTTAGCGATCATGGTATTTAAGCCAATAATTATACCATGCTCTCCAAATACGGTAACTGTACGCGACTGTACGCGACTGTACGCGTCTGCTCAAAATTAAAAAAAAAACAACCTGAAAATCGGTTGTTTTTACCAAAAAAGTCGGAAAGAATTCTCGATATTTTGTGGGCGTTTTTAATAAAACAATTATTTCACTCGCGTTTGTTGGATATGAGATGATTATAGCCAACTCGATATTCAACGCGCTCTCGTGGAATAATTGTTAAATTTTCTATAGGGGGGTACGTCACGTTTCCTTTTGTTATTGCTTTTCAGCGTTCGTGGATGGATACGGTTCGACTTCCAAGTCGTTTATCTTCTCTCTCTTGGATAAAGAAGGGCTTGCACCATTTAAAAGCATGGTGACGAATACATCTTTTGCAATTTACCGTGAGCCAGGTTACGGTCCGACATTTGGTGGGGGGCATGACATATACATCGCTGATAATGCCAATCAGAATGCTAACTCCTACACTAATTTTGGCAGCTCTTACTCTCTTCCAAATGAAGTTGCAGACCGTTATACAATCCTGGCTGGAGCCCGTTACTTCTCACCTGACGAAGTTGAGGTATTTTACCTCACTTGAGTTCATAGTTAAAGGAGCTATGTCTCGATTTTTTTGCATTATGTTAAAAGGCCTAAAGATTCATTGGAATAACAGGGGAAAAGAGAAATAATTTCTCAGTTTTATTCAAAATTACTCTACTAATATCCCTAAGTTTCTCAACTTTAAGTGAATGGCTTTGGCTTCCGATGGCAAGTATGGAAACAGATTCAAAGTTGAATAAAACGGGCCAACTTTTTTCTATTTTATTCCAGTGTTGTCAAAGGTTGACCATAAACAAATCAAAATTAGTTTTTCTTTCGGTAGAAATCATTTGAGTTATTTCTTTTACAGTTCTGATAAGTGGGATCAGAGATAATATAACTGAGAATACTTAGTTATAATTTCAGCTCAGCTTTGACTCTCTAAACAAAGCGGAAATAGCTATGTTATAACGCCTTTAACCTTTTGATTTTCGTGAGCAGAAACCGTTTAAATCAACGAAAAAAAATACCACAACAACAAAGTGTTGCGGAATTCTTATTACCCCGCTCGCTGGTTCAAACAAATCACATTGAAATAAGTATACATGTAAAGACGAGTTCTACGTTAACATCGATCTTGGCTCCCAGAGAATAGATATCTTTGCGTACGCGATCAGCTGATAGCTGATCTTTAAAGGGCAATACTATGTAAACAGATGGGTCTACTGAAGGCACGGTGTGTATTTCTTTATCTGGTTCCTGGCTTAACGTATTTGTAGTGGAATCGACCAATGTTTTGGGATAGCACAGCTTTGAAAACATCGTGCGTAACTTGTTGCATTCTTTTGCAAAACCTTCTTTGGTTGAAGATAGACGGTACACACGGTTAACCATCGTGTAAAACCCGTCTTTACAAGCAGAAAACTGTCACAAACCCCGAGTGTTAGGAAAACAAGCCCCCGATCGTCAACACTCAATGCGTTGTATACTTATTTAAATGTGATTTGTGCGATGCAAATTATGTCGGGTACACTGCCCGACACTTACATCAATGCATAAGTGAACACCGTTTTTCAGCCATCGGGAAACACCTTGAAACACAGCATGGCAACAACAGAACAAAGACCGACCATCTTTTCAAAGTTCTGAGGAAATGTAACAGCAAGTTTGATTGCTTAGTCTACGAGATGTTATACATAAAGGACATCAAGCCTTCTCTTAACACGACTAACACGCAAGCCGCCTCCATTCGCGCCAAACTATTTCCGCGACACTTTCGTACATTTTTTTTTTGTCTCGTATTGTGTTTCTTACCTCGGGAATTATACCCATTGGACCCGGAAATATTTTATGTATTGTTTAAAATTGTATATATTTCTTTTACACCTTATACTTTTTCACTTTTCATCTTGATAATGGCGTAACGTAGCGCCGAAACGTCGTTCACTTTTTTAAATGTTTTTTTAAGATGTATTTTAAAAATCTTTTAGCGTTTAACTTTTTGATCAAATTATTACAAAATCGCCCGTTCTTTCGCCTTATTTAGGTTAAGAAAATGCATGCAGTTACCTCTTTTTTATCGTAAATATACTCGGACTTTGTCTACATTATTGTGAAATCTAATGTCACGAAATCTAACTTCTTTGCGCTACAATTGTCAATTTCTAATTAATATTTAATCACAAAATAATCAAGTTAAGCATCACCTATTTCTTCCCCGACATAAAGCATTTTGCGTGGGTTATTGAAACCGTTTAATATAACTTAGTAGCCGAGGCGTTTTATCATTGGACAGTAATCCAGACCTCTTAACCAAGTGGGTTATTTTTAAAGAAGATATAAGTTTGTCTGTCTTGATCAGTTAATGAAATTGCTCTCGATGAAAGATGATCAGGATAGCAGCGATTGGAAAACTGAAAATGGTTTAGGACCGGTTTTTTTGTGGCTAAACTGCGTTTAAATAACGGGTTGAAAAGCATAGATAAAGTTCTCAGTAATTATAACACCCGCTAATAAGAACCTACATTTTTAGAGTTCTGGCATAAAATTTCCTTTTATTTTGGGGTAGTTATCGGCAATTTAAGGCTAGGTTCTTAATTTCTATGAAGGCTTAGGGGATAAAGTTGTTGAATACCCGAGAAAAAAAAAAGAAACTTGAGTTTGGTCCTTAAATATACAGTATTTATTCACAACTGTACATTATATATTTCAAACCTCCTTTATCTGTGCTTTTTACAACCCTTTTTCGTTGTAGGAATTACAGATGAAAATCTAATTTTGATTAGCAGGATCATCGATCCAAGTAAACTGTGTCAGTAAAACAACAGCAGTTTTTAAGTAGGAAAACCTGTAAGAGTTAACCACCTTTAAGGGGCTTCTTTTTCTCTATGTATGTTTACTTTTTCAGAAACACGTTGTAATAAAAATGGCACTTTCTACAATCACCAAAACGTTAGTTTGTAGTTCTTGAGACGATCCCTGCATTACTTTGATATAATTGTTTCATTCATCTGGACATTCCTGATAATCTCGCAGTTTCCTTGCGCTGGGAATGCAACCATACCTATTAGTGGTCAGAGCAAATGTCTAATTAGCTACAAATTCGCGCATGTCATGTCGCAGGGCGCCATGGGAAAGAGTGCCCTCGTTATTAATACGGTAAACGAGGCCGATCAAACGCTCTCCAAAATGCTTCAATTGGCCATCTCCACTTAAAAAGGGCTACGCCACACTATTTCACCATCGTTTTTCAATCATTTTTTTTTCGGTATCCTCTCTGGTGACGGTATAGATCGGTTTCACTATCACGCAATAAACACGGCACATAAACTGAAACCGTCCAGTGGAAGAAGCCAAGAAAATGAATGTTATAAAAGACTAATTTTTGAACAATTTGTCCAAGTCTCAGGTCTTGTGACCCACAGTTTCTCGAGTTATTTGCCTTAACGTTTCACGCATCTTTGTAGAGCTTTGTATGGAGACGCCATATTGGTGTAAAGTTTTGGTACACCAATATGGCCGGCGGAAATCAACAAACACATCTGGAGTTCACTTTTTCTATAAAAGCTCTTTCTTTTCACTCGAGAACTAGCACACGAGCGTAGAAGCATATCTTCTAAAACTTGAAATGGTTATACTCACTGCTGAAAATCAAAAGGAGAGACTTTTTTTTTTTCAACGACACAGTATTCATATATTGGTGTCACACACTGAGAAAACTCGAAAGTTCAAATGGCTGTATTTTCGAAACGAAACATGCTACGGGACTGGAAACTTGTACAAAGATATATTTTTTTGTTTATCTTCAACCCATTGTAAATAGGAATACGTAAATTCTCGCTTTATGACTTTACAATTTGATGACGTCACTGTGAAAACCATGTGCACTTGAAATTGATTTTTTAAAATTTCCTTTTCTTATTTTTGTGTTTATTTTTCGTTTTGTTTTGTTTGTTTATTTTCTTTTGGAGCTTACCCCTATTTAAAGCTATCTTTTTCATGTGTTCTTTGCCAAAATCCCAGTGCACCCCCCACCTGAACCCCTGTCCATCAATAAAATTCCTTGTTAACTTGATTATGACTCAGAACTTCTCCTCATCTTTCACATCTATGGATAACTTTGACGAAAGCTGCCTACTCAATTATACGCGTAGGTAATTTGTGCTAAGTTTACCTTTTTTTGGCAAATGAGGAACTTGCTTGCTCTCTAATTAGTTTCCATTGAGAGAAATGGTAATATTATTTATGACATAAATTTATTCGTGTAGCAAGTTAAAGGGTCTTCCGTGGCAAACCACTACTCCAATGTGATTTGCTGTAAATCTTTTAAAAGAAATCGCAGAAATTTTGCGATTTGCTAGAATAGACGTTATACTAAGGAATGATTAGCATAAATAAGTAAAGCCCGCTTAGAATCTCCACATTTTCGTTAATTTCCTAATTATGCAAGGTAATTTAACCGAAACTTAGCAAGGGGCAAAACATCATTAGTCGTACTGCTGATTAATTTACCACACACGTATTTATACGAAAGTGGAAGTTCTTGTTTTATTCATATAACACTGACAAAACGAAGCTAAAGTTCATTAAGCTCGATTTTTAGAACACTCCGTTAGCTGAGACTTAAAGCCTAGTAGATTATATTAGGCTCGGAGATATTTCCATCTCAGTGGTCGACGGAAAATTTGAAAAAGCAATTTATTAAGTTGAACTACGTTTACGCAATTAAACCTGTTGATAATTTGCCAGGCTACGCAATGTAAGCCCACGCTAAAGTCTGGACAGGAAGATTGTTTTCGTTTTTGTCTGCAATGGACAAGTTTTGATATTCTCAGGAAAGCAACGACAATTCAATTAACACTTAAAAACGTCAGTGCAAACTGTTTTTCAGTGGTATGAACACTAAGCAGAAGAATCTTAAGTGGTTCATTAATATAAATTAAATTGGGCAAATAATGAAATTATTTCGTTGAATTGGGAACAAAGTATTTGAAAGAAGTTTTTGTATTTTAATTTAGTTTAATCACCAGAAAAAGTCTAAATGGATTAAATACTGCTCTTTCTCTCTCTGCTTCAAATTTCATCAAATCCCCTTGGTCATTTTTAAAACAAGCCATTTGTTCTAAAATAAGGTTTTTAGACGAGTTTTCATATTATTTATTGATGGCAATTGTTTAACCTCTTTTGTGTCCGTGTAAGGTTACAGACAAACGATATAATAAGGAGATGTGGGTGCTTGTTCTAATGCATTCAATTTAAAGACTGATTCAGACAAATGCTAAAACTTCACTTCTCGGCGTATCACGAGAAGATGAAAAAAACAGTAATTCAGAGAAACTACTTCTTCCTTGTATGGATCTTTGTCACGTTTGCATCTAATTCTGAAGGTACAAAGACTCTGTCTTTTATTTCCTTTATTGTAGTTTTTCAGTATATGACATGAAAAAAGAATCTCATATTTTTCCTCCCTTCTTTTAAAAAGCTTTCAGTCAAGGATCGATTGGCAACTTTTTCTACGTCAACTTCATGATAAGTGAATTTTCCTACCTGAATATCTCCAGCATTGGGCGGAATCTTATTCAAGAAGAAAACGATTGTGGCTACGCCTGTTTAGAAATTCCTTCATGTTTTTCCTACAATGTGGCTGCCTTCCCTGATGTCAACGGCAAACTTCTGTGCGAACTCCTGCCATCGGACAAGTTTAACAACTCGGACAAGTTCAACGCCAGCAAAGAGTTTCATCACTTTTATATTCCGGTAAGTCAAACTTCTAATTAATCAAAAATGTTCCTTCTGGGGAAAATAAAAAGTTTCTTCTTGTTTGTTTGTGTGATTATTTTCTTTTGACTCTCGCTAGTTTCGAAAGTTAGCATTTGTTAATCAAAATGTATCTCTTCGCTTGGAAAATCTTGAATGCAGTGGATTACGTTGTGCTTCAAATGCAAAGGAATTGGCTAATGAGTTTGGATAAAGAAAACCTTATAAAAGTTTTACGACTAAGTTAAACCTTTCAACTCTTAATTTAAACATCTGCTGATGCCCAAACATACCTGATGAAATCGATATATTTATGTTCGAATGTCCTAAACGTTAGTGAGGGGGGAGTTGCTGACAAAGGTCTCGACTGAAATATTTTCCGACAAAAAGCGTTTAGCTCGTACAACACATTTGTCATATCATGAATTTTGCTTATTACTAGTTTGCATACTTGGCTTGCCTTAAAAGTTACAGAAACGTTTTAATACTCCTATTTTAGGCTAATCTTTTGCCAGCTAGACTATATCAGCACAACGCCTTGAAATTCGGTAGCATCTCTGCAAATTTCTGGGTAAATGAAACAGCGTTGACTTTCAAAACCTCACTAAAAACTCAACTGAGCAAATCCAGCGGGGAGTGCAAGAGATAAAAATGTATCTTGCTTGCCGTCCTTAATTATATCGATGTCATTTAAGCATCGACATGTATGTCAAATTCGTTGCTTTTTGAATCCATGAAACAAAGCGAAAGGGAAACAAAAAAATTTAATCCCAACTTTTGTAGGTTTATAGTAAGCTGCATTTAATCCACAGTTCGGCTCGTTGAAGTAGTTATAACATCATATAGTGAAGACAATGAATGTCTATAGTTTTCGTACTGAAAGTTAACTGAGGCCCCAAAACTTTCTCTCTGTCTAGTGCTTTTCTTGTTCTGTTTGGACATTACTATGGCAACACAAAGTACCTGACCTGTTAACCTATGGGAACATTCAACTGAGGGAATTCGTATCCACTAAACGTTCCTGGCAATAAATCAATTTAAACGAGTAAACTGCCTTGTCGAAACAATTTTTATTGTATCGAGTTCTTCGTTCTTTTTCACAAAAGCGAGCCACTTTGATACTCATGTTTGGCTGATTCAATGGGATATTGCCATAGCAACGCACATTTAAAGATAGGACTGCCACCTGTAACTGATGAACCGTTCGTGTTTTGTTATTTAAAAAAACAGCTTTTGTTATTGCGTCACAAGAAATACATGTTACTGGCAGTAGACGTTCTACACTATGAAAAAGCAAGCATCAAGTTTTCTAAAAAACGGAGACAATAATTAAGGGACTTATCAAAGTCTGCTTTACATTTGTTAGAGCTGCGCAAAATTCCCCTTACTTGATCTTATTTTATTATTTGCAATATATATATTTTTTAATCTTTTCTTTCATCGTCCTTATTTCGAGAAACACCTCGATTTTTGTAGCCTGTTATATAGGCTCCGAGATAGTAGTGCAGCGGGAGAAGGGACAGAGAGGATCATATTTTTTTCCCGCCGCTATCCCCTTTCCTTGATCGCGTGCGTCTTATTTTAAATAGGTTTCCTTCTTTTATGTTACCGATGTCCCTACTTTGAGATCCTACGCAGTATACCCGGAATTTCAACATGGATGATTGAAAACAAGCCTAAAATTTCGAATTTATTAGGTTTGCACAAAATCTAGTTATTAGCAGATTTCTTGATGAGTTAGTACACAACTTACAATTTGTTACCCCCACTTTTTAAAACAACTTAACCAAATTTTAACAGTATTTAATTTTTTTAACAAATTAAGACAAAAAGTAAGCATGTTCAACAGTTAAGCACTCGTTGAAAGCACGCTACATGTATATATCAAAGGCGACAAAAGCAGATAATTTTCGTACCAGTCTTTGTTCACTTATTGGCTGCATATCTCCTCCTGATAAAAATGTTAACATTCGCATAAAAGTGATAAAGTACTTCTAAAGAAACTGTGTTCAGCCTCCTTAAAGGCCAACTGAAAGTCGGGAGGAAAGAATTGTGCCAGAAAAAAACGTTTTATTTCTTAGAATGCAAGAAAATGCAATTTAATTGGACGAAGAAATTTACAAAGTATAAGGAATATAAGATGGAGTTTCATTAGAATTCATAGAAAAACGCAGAAAAAATGCATTTAAAAGATATCCTGACCAGCTACGACAGAGGCCAAGCAGTGGCTCTTTATGCCATCGTCAGGCCACTCGCCGATATATATCTGCAGCCTGTTCATCCTACATCCTGGGCTGCGTCAAAAGAATGCATTGACCAGAAGCAACTAGCTGAGAATACAACAGGCTGTGAACCCACTCACTGGGGCAATTAATGCAGGCATTAGATATAGCTTCTGTTCTCGTTCAGCAAAACCAGCCGGAGGCCTGAAATAATTTGATGACCAAGCGAGTTAAATTCATTTAATTACACAAGCTTATTGCATGCTAACCGAAGGGAATTTTAGTTTGTAACTGCGCTAAAATGAAATTCAAATTTCAAATCATCTGCGATTATTTTAGGTGCCGAGAAAGGAGAATCCTGATGAATTTTTGAACGTGTTCACCGCTAAGATGTTTTATTTATTTATTTATTTATTTATTTTTTCATTCAGTCATTCCGTTCGCTTAGACACAGATATGACTAATGACAGCAGTTTGATAGCCTGAAAAGTGGAAGTGCCTTGTGTTTTCTCATTTGTAGTAACAAAATAAAGTCCGGAAGATTCATCGATATTTTGGGGGCGTTTTTACTAAATAAGACAATTATTCAACTCGCACTTGTTCCATGGAGATGATTATAGCCAACCAATACCCAACAACCCGCAAGTGGAATAATTGTGTTACTTAATGCTACATGTAAATAAAACTTGGGGCTCAAGTTGGTCGACGAAAGTCAATAGCTGAATTTGCCTTAAATCCAGCATACGTCTAATATCGATAAATGATATGCGTCACGCTTATTACTGGATATTTTGACTTTGTAATGAAATGGTCTTTACTTACAGCAGTATCCTTTCCTTTGTGTAGTCTCCTTGTGACAGTTCGCCCTGTAAGAACAATGCAAAATGCATTTCTTTGTACCAGGAAAATGGATATAAGTGTATCTGCGTGAAAGGATTCACAGGAAAAGACTGCGAAACGAGTAAGAAATACTGAGTTGAAACAATGTCGCCACTAACTATAATACAATCACAGGTGATACACTATTAACGCACTTTGCAAGTGGGTATTATCTTTATTTATTTATTGACGTTTACTTCTCTGAGCTCACTACAATAAGAAGTTCTAACTGAGAAGACTTAAAAACTACCTTGAAAGAAAAGTCGACCAATAAGTTTCACGCTGAACTTTTACTTTTCCTTGACGTTACCCGACCACAAATTTCAATTTTCCTGCTTGATGGATGAAGTTACTTATTTATAGACAGGTTTCTTCAACAACCTCTAGAACAAGGTTTACATTTACAAGTTGTGTTTTGACTCTTGTTAAAGTCTAATGTATACCTTGGCTGAAAGGTACATATCATTTTTTTTTGTTAATATCTTTGATTCTCTCTCCTGCAGATATAAATGATTGTGTCAATTTTACTTGTTTGAACAACGGAACTTGCATCGACCTAATCAATGGCTTCAACTGCAGTTGCCCTCAAGGATTTGCCGGCAACCGATGCGAAATTGGTTAGATACTTGTTGATGCTATTGGCTTTACATTTCCGCTAAAAGGCAACATGAAACACCGTCCAACATTAGGCTGATGTTGGACGCTGTTGAATGCTGATGGCTGATAAATATGGATCAATTTTAAATCCTACATGGATCCTACAGCATCCGACAATCTTAATGATGTTATACCTGCAACATACGTCTTTATTGCGCGGCTCTAGGGTCCACTGGATAGATGTTTTGCAATTTTATTGACCTCGAATTCCTCTCGGTCCAAGAAAAACTTGGCCAATAATAACGCATTTATCTTGGCCTAACAAGTTTGGTCATTAACGCATACATATTTATTTGTCACTCAATTTTTGATTATATTTCCTTTAGATATAAACGAATGTGAGAGTAGTCCTTGTTTAAACAACGGAACATGCACTGACCGAGGCAACGGATTCAGCTGCAGTTGTCTACCAGGATTTTCGGGCAATCGATGTGAAATTGGTTAGCTGCGTTTAGCTATTATTTTTATTGTTTATCGTCGTGAAAATCTATGCACTAAGTGACGGTGTTGGTGTCACATGTTCAATTATTGTTGTTTTTTGAAGAAGAGATTTATTTGCATTTATAACTTTCTTTCGCAACTTTCAGTTCGTTGAAGTCTATGCAGTAAAGATTACCCTCCGTAAAAGTTGGTTTTGGTTTCTTTTTTCGTTTGCAATTTATCTGTGATTATTGTTTCCTTCAGATATAAACGAGTGTGAGAGCAGACCCTGTTTAAACAACGGAACTTGCACTGACCGAATCAATGCATTCAACTGTAGTTGCCCACCTGGATTTTCTGGCAATCGATGTGAAATTGGTTAGTATAGTGTTAAGCTAATTATCCTATAATGGCCTCGTAAGGTTAAGACGTCCTCAAATGTCAACGCCTATCCCCCACTTCAAAAACTTCAAAGGAAACTGGGTACAACCTTTGGGATCAGTGATTTTGGATCGTTTTGGTGGACAAGAGTTAATTATGATTGATCGATGGTATTTAAGGCAATCATTAACCAATCATAAACAACGCTTGTCAACCAAACGATCTGAGATCAAATGGTACAAAAAAGCCAGTTAAATAAACTGCCACCAACCCCCCTCCCCCCTCCTTCCAACTTGTTTTTTCCAAAAAAGGCAAGGGGCCGTTCAACTGACCGTTTCAAATGTACTTCATGTAAGAAAGCATCCGGCGTTGGCCCCTTTGTATTTTGGAATCGATCTTGTCTCTGGCAATAGACCTTATTCACGATACGCGCCATCTTTGCACGCGTTAAAGGACGTTGACTGACGGCATAATAGCAATGTCACGTGGTTTCTGAGGGTGGGGGGGGCACAAGTGATAAAATCTGCCAATGCACAAACTCGCGGTCGAGTTTGTGAGTTCTAGACATCAGACAAATAAGAACTTTTTATCTGAAAGATGAAAATAGCAAGTTAGGGCCTGTGCAATAATTATCAGGACGGGGGAATGAAAAACTAGAGTTATCTAGCAAACACTTAGACAGTACCCCCCTCAAAAACAAAAAAATTAGTTCTAACCCCCCTCTGTTATGTTAAAAAATAACGTCGCACCCCCCTCCCCCCCTCCCACCACACTGGTAAACTTAGAACTGGACTGAGCTGCCATCACACCTTCAATAATGACAAACGTTTTTACGTAACATCTAGTATCGAGTAGGATGTTGATCGCTTGATCGAAGATTTAGACAAAGCATTTGCTAAGTACCGGGGTGCTTACCACATTGGCTCAAAATCTAAAACTTCTGAAGTCAGAAAGAGAAAGGAGCAGAGAAAAAAAAATCAAAGAAGAGGAGATTGAACGCTTCAAATAACAGACGAAAAAGAGCTTGCATTATATTTAGATCCTTGGGAGGAGAGCCTGTTGAACTTTGGTATGAGCCAGATATATATATGGAATTCAGCAAATGGATTCAGTATCGGTAAACAGCTGTTCGTATTGATATTTGTTACAGTCTCTCATGATGCCTGTATTGAGAATCTTTCATTGCGTTTAATTTTATTTACATTTCGAATAAAACCTAAGCCCCCCTCCGTTAACTGAGTGATTCTACTTTGAGCCCCCCCTATCTTGGCAGCAATTTTATGTAATGCTCCCCCCTCTAGTTTTTCAGCCTCCTCTCCTGATAATTATTGCACAGTCCCTTATGGGTCCCTTCATTTCTCAGTTATTTCAAAATCCTGGGTATTATCCGAGCCCCAAGAAGTGAGCCCGCGCCCTCTTGCTTTGCAGTCAAGCGCTGTACCCGACTGAGCTAATCCTGCCGCGGTATTAAGACGTTCAAATTATATTTTTCCAGGATACATAACCAGGGGGAAATTAGTTCTTGCTTTCTCTTTCTTCTTTAGGTTTCATTTCGTCACTAGCAAAACAGTTCGGCCTTGAGCCTGCGATTGGAAATAACAGCAGCTGGGCTCTTTGTTGGCAGGCCTCCACTCATGGCTGGGCAGGCAGTACCTTCCACAGCAGATGCAACGGGAAAAATCACACGATCACAATCATTAAAAAAGACCAGTACGTGTTTGGAGGATACACTGATGTTCCCTGGGGTAAGGGTTTTTTTTTGGTGGGGGAGCGGCGGGGGTGCGGCGCTATTTTTGTTGTTATTGATAATAAACAGAAGATTGACCGAAACCAGAACCTACAGTGCGTGTATACCATTATTTTACAGCGGTATTAAGTCTTTACTTCAATTAAACATTGCCAACCTTGATGCAACGCGGTCATTTGTTTTTGTTTGAAATCGCGCTTTTGTAAATGGCGCGCTCTGATTGGTCAACACTTTTGCCAGGCTTTCTTGCAAAAGACAAAATAGTATACAACTATCCCCCGAAAGAGAGGTGAATAGTTGCTGTATTTACCGAGACGCGTAGCGTCGAGGTATATATCTGCCCCTTTGAATCGACCCTGAGGGGGATAGTTGTCTTAGTATTTACCAAATCAGTTGGATAAAAATTAAAAAGGAACTTTTTGTAAGTAAAAGACATCACTTAGTTAGAGTTTGTTTACGTTCCAATTGACAGTGTTTCGGTGATCATTTTTTACGATTTTGTTGCAAATTCAATAAGAAATTTTTTTTTCTGTCGACCAGTAACACCAAATTTTGTCTCTTTCTTAGTATTTGTTGGTGCAGCTGCTTCATTTACCGCTAAAATTTCGTCTTTCGAAACTGTAGCGAAACGAGAAGCCATTTTGAATCTCGTCCCAAAACAGTGAATTATCCAAGGATATTCCGAGTTACGGGAGCCAATCAGAACGCGCCAAAATTGCTATACCCTGATTTGGTGAATACTAATCAGAGCTAGTCAGCTATGGTCGCGTCGGCTTTTTGTGTTTCCTCATCTGACAGATGGTTGCACAGTTCGCCTGCAAAGTCAGTAAATACGTATTATTTCTCATGGAAGTGAATAAGTCCATTAACATTTCAGGTTTAACTGAAAGAAACTTGTACGTCTTCGTGAGATGAAGAGGTACTGATTCAGTGTGACAAAATGTACACGTGCATTCAAGTTTTTAACATGTAAGCCACGGCGAGGATGCAAGGAACCGTTTTTAATTTTCAGATTTTTACCGTGGCAATAGCGTTTAATCGTTTTCCCGGAAATGGTGAAGGACGATGATGGTATTTTGAACAGGAGAGGTTTATTGAGTGTATGCCCACTACTACCAAAAGCGTTAGTTTGATATTTGCAAAGGTCAAAACATAACTTGTTCGGGAAATTTGTTGAATATCATACCTTAGATTGTAACTTGTAACGATTATCGAATTTTATGACAGCAGAGAAGGCTATTTAGCAGAAAATGTACCGTGACAGTTCATAAGATGATGGCAAACAACGTTTAGAAGACGAGAGTGTCTAATTGTCGCGGGTCTTGGGTCGGGAGTAAAATGTCGCGGGTCCAGAAAATTGTTGCGGGTTCAAAAATAAACAGATCTTTAATTGTTTTAACTGGATTACAAATTTTAAAATTATTGTAACTGATAACAATTCAAATTGTGATTGCTTAAATTTTAACGGTGTTCATTCCTATCTTTTGTAGAATAATTACATAGGTCAGCTCAAGAGGTCAACAGAATTACAAAATGGGAAACCATTATCTTTGAAAGCTGCCATTGTGTCATTAGATGAGCTGTCAGCTCTGATTCTATCTGGTGGTTTTAAATTGGTCCAATGTGCTAAATTATTTATGCGTTGTTTTTGGGGAAAAAATGAAACATCGTTTCTGTGACGAAATTCTGTTCATAAGGGACATAACGCCCTTTAACGCTGACAGTTCATCTTCATTTTGTACTTTTCTACAAGTCCAGCATCTTGGTCCTTGTCCTCTTGTCATAGTGTAAAAAAGGGGATCGGTATAGGCAACACACGACGGGCACGCGACTTTAACCTCGTGCCAAAATGCTGCTTGTTCCAATGAATCTTTTCTTTGGCGGGTAGATTATGCTTTGGAGGAAAAAGGTTTTCACTCTACTTTAAAACTCACAGCTGAGATGTCAGAAAGAGAGATCACTTTCTAGGACACAAAAGTGAAAAAAGGGGTTGGATTCAACAAGAAATCAATCTTAGACGTGTCACCCACCAGGCGTGAAGAAAGGCTTCATTAAAGGAGAAGCGCTCAGTTCTAATTCCTCTCAAACCACATTTGAGGGAAATATCCAAAATTTCCAAAATCACCTGACAGAAAGAAGCTAACCTGCCGCTATTGTGAGAAAGTACCTATCTGGGGTTAAATTCTTCGACAGGAAAACAGCCCTTCAACAGGGAAACAAATCCCCGGCTTTACCGCGCCTAAAAGAAAATACTAATGAGAAAATAGCACTTTCTACAAAACCAGCAACGGCTAAGAGAGATCTTTAAGGAGCTTCCCCTCATATCATATCCCAAGGGAAAATTCCTTAAGGACCTACTAGTTAAAGCGAAGTTCTGAAGCGGAGGGTGTAAATTGCAGGTTCCCAGGTTGCAGATCGCAATTTGAAGTACGCGCGAACGGCGAACGGTCAACGCTAAACTGATTTTGAAAAAAAAAAAAAACACGTTTTCGGTCTAACGTCTAACGTCTTTACAGCGTCACGCAAAACAGGAATTGTCTTTAGTCCCAGAAAGTTGTTTGTTTGGAGTTAGATTTTGCAGCCGGAGCCCTATAGATCAAAATTTCTTAGCTTCACACTTTTAAAAATAACAACAAATGGTAAAAAAAAAAAAAATCGGGAATTCCAAAAGAGTACACTTTCAAAGGAACAAAATAAAAAGAACGCGCGTAGAAAGAGTAACGCACACATTGAGGGCCGGTCGGATGTAATTCGTCGCAATATCGGCAGTAACATCAATTTTTTGCTTTCTTTTTGTTTTTGAACACTTGACCGCTGTTTAAAATCTAAACTAAGGCTCTCCATGCATGTGCTCGACCACGGCGTGAATTCCAACGAGAAGCGAATCTGATTATCCTAGCATACCTTGCACAGCATCCGAATTTAAACTGAATTAGATGTCTGTCATCGTTTGAATATTGTTCGCTTTAAAATCAGGCCGTTCTTGTGCCTTCACTGAACCATTTAATCATCAGTTTATCATTGACCGTTCGCGCGTACTTCAAATTCTGACCTGCAACTTGCAAATTACACCCTTCGGCTCTGAATGGCATATAACTTTCAATACAGTAAAAACCCGCGACTAAGAACCTACTTTTTCCCAGGTTAGCCTAAATAGGTTCTTACATAAATGGTAATAAGGACAAATTTAGGCTATTTGGGTTCTTAAATAGGGTCTTATTTTCTGAAGGAAAAATAAATTGTAGCTAAGAGCATTTGGTGGTGTTCAGCTTATTCTTTGCATAAAATCTGCATGCCAATACATTCCAGTTAGGGTGATAAGTCACTTATGTCTCCAAAGGGGATCCTGAATGTTGACTTATCCTATTTGTCCAAGTGTACAAAAAATGTTTTAAAAAAAATTAAAAATAAGAACCTGTTTTTAAATTTTAGGCTAAACAGGTTATCGTATAGAGGGGGCCTCACTGGCAAATTTTAGCCTAACAGGTTCTTAAAAACCAGGTTCTTAGTGACGGGTTTTTACTGTACAACTAAGTGCACGAGTCGTGTGTTGCCCATCGCCTCTATTTTTAACCATGTGCCAGGGATCACGGTCACAAGTTTCTGCTAGGTTTTCGTTCACGTTTCCGTTCACGTAACGTGATTGTATTCGGTAGAAGTTCTCCCAAAAGCTTGTTTTGAAAAAAAGAAAAAAAAAACAAAACAAAACAAAACAAAAAACAAAAACAAAAAGTGGGTTGTTTCAGAGCTTTTAGAAAGAACAGTTTGAAAATGTTTAGCTTCCACAAGAAAATTCCAGGGTCATAAATTGTTTTGAAAACCAGACAATTAAACAAAGAAAAATGAAAACATTTTCCTATACCCGCGAAAATTTTCTGGACCCTCGATCGACATTTTACCAGCGACAATTTACCCGCCACCCGCGCCGTTTAGATTCTCTCGTTCGGAGGATACACCGATATTCCTTGGAGTAAGTGCCTTTTTTGGTAGACTACTTGCCATTCTTCCTTTCTGCTTAACATCAGCCGGTATCTTGGGAGCGAGCTGTCATTTGCAAGCAATGAAGTTATTGGACAAAAACGGCTCGGTATTAGATGAGTTCTTTTCTCCGCAGCTCGAGTGTATCTGTTAAGCTACCTTTGAAAACAAAAGGCAGGAAAATACTCGCAGTCTAGATAGTTTTCTTTGGATAACCTCTTTACACTCTGCCTACCCTGCGAGCAAAGGCTACATTTTCGCAGTGTGAGCTGGCGTGCAAAAAGTTACTACTTTTCGCACGCCAGCTCATACAGCGAAAATGTAGCCTCTGCTCGCAGGGTAGACTCTGCTCTAAGCGATGGGTAAGAATATTAATTTTGTCAGTTTAAAATTTGGTACTCAAGTTTTTACTGACCCAGGTCTACTAAAGATCCGGCGGACCCTCACTGGTTTGTCATTGTGGTTTTGCCTTCAAAAGTGTTTTTGTCAGTAGACCTCTTTAGCTTGTATATATGTTTTCTCTTTCCAATGCAGGTCCTTTAATAATACCCCCAGAAAACTGCTTCCGTCAAGTTTTGTCTTATTAATGTCCATATGAACGAGAAGACACAGTATCAAATTCCCCTGGGACCTTCAATGGGAAAACATTTACGTACCTGTACACAGCAATAGCGTTTTCTTATAAGTATACTGTTTAGCCATTATATAGCGAATAGCCTGCGAAAACATCCGTTTCTCCTCGCTCTTCGTCGCTGTGGACGTTTCGCGCAGAGGAACGTCTGCGACTCAGCGACAGAAATTCCATACTGATGACGTAAAATCTGTCCAGAATCCGGTCAGAAGCGCTGATTGGTCGACGGAGCAGTTACATTGTTTTAGCTATTGTTTACAAATGACAGACAAAAGACAAAAGGCCAAAAAGGTCAAATGTAAACACGAAGAATCTCTAACAAAACAGTCAATATTTGTGCAATATAGTCTTCTCTAGAAGGAGCATTTGAGTTTTGCTGGAGCTCGTGGGCAGATCAACACAACACTTTACCAAAATCGACCAGAAGACACGCAAAATTAGACAAATTTATTTTTGGAACCCCATGACTACCGGATTTATTATGTAAACATTGATTTGCGCCATCAGTATGGAATTTCTGTCACTGAGTCGCAGACGTTCCTCCGCGCGAAACGTCCTCAGCGACGAAGAGCGAGGAGAAACGGATGTTTTCGCAGGCTATATAACGAAGGAAAGACTAGTAAGCCCATAGCTATATCACCTGACTCCCGTTTAAAAACTGTCTTCTGTCGACCAGGGAATAACCAGCTAAGCGAGTGAGGTGTTTGGCACAGCTGTAAGAAACACAGCTTGTATTTCTAACAATGGGCCGTAAACAGAAGCTCCTGCCGTAAAGAAATCCTTTTTTTGTTGATCTTGAACAGTCCCAAAATATTTTAGGGGGGGGCGGGGGGGCTGCTATGTTAAGCATACCAAGCGAACCCATCCACCCGCCTCCTTTTAGGCGTGGTTCAAGATTTTAACGATTATTCCACTCTTTGCATTTTTCTTTATGAATTTTTAATGCATCATCGGTTATTAGTTAACAACACCCCTTTAGAAACAAGAAGGAATTTGGATCGAATTAACTTTTGCAAAGTCTTCTGGGACTGTTACTAGGGACAGGACACGCCCCAGTAACCGTCCCAGAAACAATTGCGGGAAACATTTCGGCTCCAGTTCCCTTCTCGTTTCTAAACTGGAGAAATTAAGTTTGCTAACAAAAACCTTTCATGGGGGGTTTACATCGTCCACGTTTAACTATTCCATTCGCGGGGCTTATAAATCCAGAGATAGTCGGTGGTAATTAACAACACCCGGAAAAACTGTTTGAATGCAGAGGTCCACGAAACGCTTAAATATGACTGACTGGCTCCTCTTGCCGGATGTCAAATTAAAGAGATGCTGTAGCCAGAGGTCACTTAAAGTGTGAAATAAAACAAAACTGAATGCAGGGCTGGCACTACGGCAAAGGGCTGGCTGTTTCTATTTCTATTCTTATTGTATAATCATTTACCTGTATATTATTATATCTAGTATTAACAATTGTAGTTAATTATTAACCACTTATGTGAATTTTAATTCAAATTTTAGGAGCCGTTAAAAGATATTTTCTCTCGGTATAGCTCTGGCCTTGAGGAAGGCTTATTTTGTAAGCCGAAATATTAGCCTTTGCCGAAGTGCCAGCCCTGCATTCAGTTTTGTTTTATTTAGCAACACACGGGTTTCGGATCATGTTTACCCGCAAAGTCATCAAACAATAGGACGTCAAACGCACAGCTTAACCGTAGATAGAATAATATAGGAGGTGGTTCTAGGGGTAAATCCGGAGGGAGGGAGAGGGGCGGGGGTAATCCCTCTTAGTATATACTAAAACAGCGGATAGTGTTTTTCGCGCGCTCTGATTGGCTACTCAATCAGTGAATGATCCAGTGCTATTCACTGATTCACCTCCAGTTCCTCCGAGCGAGCGACGCCAAACTCACGTAAGTTACGAGCAAAATCGCTTCCCGGTTTGCAGCTGTTTGCTGCCGTAACAAACAAAGAAATTTCACAAATAATCAAACAAGCTGTGCCCAAAATACACGAAGAAGGTAACGAAATTCGGTTTGGGAGTCTTAACAGGTAAAGCTTTCTCTGTTTGACTTTAATTTGTCGATGAAACCGGTAAAAAAGTTTTTTGTTTACAAATGCAAATCAAGCTTAAGTCTTGCATTACTTTACTTAGCTTATTTAATACTTTTTTTTACAGAATGGTTTTTAATACAAAGAGAACTAACAACTCCTTTTTCAAGAAATGTCCCCGAAATAGCTAAAAAAATGACTTTAAAAGTTTTATTTGTTAAATGTCTGCTGGTTGAAAGTCGAAATTATAATTCAAGTTTTTCTTTCTTATTTATTATTGTTTTCTAGTGTCTGGGTGGTCTTACAGTGCCACTACCAAGTCGTTTATTTTCTCTCTGGTGGACAAGGAAGGACTTGCACCATTTAAGAGCATGGTAAAACATGCCAGTTCACCATATGCAATTTACAATGGGTTAACGTACGGTCCAACATTTGGTGGGCATGACTTATACATTGCTGATAATGCCAGTCGGAATACTTATTCCAGCACTTCAAGTTTTGGCCACTCTTACTCTCTTCCAAATGGAGTTACCCACAGTTCTACAATCCTGGCTGGGTCCACTAACTTTTCACCTGACGAGGTTGAGGTATTTTATCTCGCTTGAGTCCTGTAACCCCCTTCATTTCCACGCGCCGAAACCGTTTCAAATCAAAGAAATATATACACCCCAAAAAGATCTATTTAAGACCTATTGCAAAGCAGAGAGCATCAGAATGACTCAACAGTTTGAATACCATAAGGTAAGGATCGACCTTAAGATCCGTGGAAGGCGAAAATGCCGCTTAAAAACTGAACTCGCTTTGTTTCAATGTTCACCAACTTTGTCAAACGTAGGCGAACTCTCCTGGACGAGATGAATTTCTAAATACCATACCCAAGTTCAGGAATACAAAGCAAATTTGTTCGTCGCTTGTTAAAGTCCTCCAGCAGCACGTGAAACTAGGCATTTTTCCCATCGTAGGCATGTAGTGATGGAAAAGAAATGTGCAAAAGAGGGTGATGCGCGTGCAGTGCTCGTGTAAAGATGGAGTTTTGCTAAGGCTACATTCAAACGGCACCGGACTAATTTTCCACCGGATGAAGATTCATGCGTTAAGGTGTTCCGTTCTGTTCACACGGATCTAACCCTCGACAGTGACAGATCCAGGGGAGGGAACCGGGCCCGTCCTGCCACCCCCCCTTATTTTTAGAACAAACTGAGGCCTCCCTTATCTCACGATCTGGATGACTCCCCCCCACCTTTATCTGAAGGTCGGGATCCCGCCACTGCTCGAAGATCTTAACCGTACGAAAATTTAGACGCCTAGCTGTTTAAAGCCTCCGTGTGAACAGAGCGGAAATATTCGGTTAAATTTTTCAGCCTTTCGAAAATTAGTACACCTATAAATGCATTTTCTCTTTGAGGTTTTTGCCGCCATCGCTGTCCTTGGATCTTTAGGTCGTTATTCTGAACGGTATGCAACGGTCTGCGACACGATCGGAAGTCTGTCTGTGTCGAAAGTTTTCAGACGTTCCCGGACATCAAAGGCAGATAACTGTATTTGAGCTGTTAGCGATTGCAGACTTTCCAGGTTTATTTGATTCGTTACAGTGCAAAAATGGTGCCAAACACAGGCCTGTCGACGACGCGACGTAGACCGGTCTCTGATCCGTGTTGCAGATCATATTTACCGCGTCATTTACCCTTCGCCCACACGTTTTTGGATATTTTTGAAAACGGGAGACTTTTTTCTCCAGTTTCTTCCTTTTGCGCTTATACTTAGCGTATTGAATCGTTTTCGCCAGTCTAGATGAAAACGTTAAAACAATGGAAATACAATCATCTGATAACATTCCTACAGCATGCCTTACAGAGCATGCGTAATGCTACTAGTACAGTGTTAATGATGTTTTTATAATATCGTAACAATTTTTCGTCCGTGCACATGTAAACGAGAAGCCGGCGTTTTCCAAAATCTCCGCTCTGGACAATATACTCTGGAGACCGTTTTTGAAAGCCTGCGACTTTTTGGTGCCTTCAAAACCCGTTTTCGTGAGGACGGAAGGCTAAAACGGAGAAAAATACGTACAGTGCACACTTCAACTTGTGAGGTAGGGTCAAATCGGGAATCATTGCATCATAAACTGACTTATTCATCGCAATGATCAAGCATTTAATCCTATGTGAAGTTTAATTCATAAGTTTTGAAAAAGTAAGAGGTGCTTTCCTAATACTGGAATGAGTTTAATGTATTAAGCTCACACAGGTATTGAGGTATTTCATTGATAGGGACGCTTTCTGCTTAAAGATTACGCATGCGTCACACGTGACTCCAACCTAGAAATAATAAAAATATTTAGACTTGTGGTGCCTAATCTCGTTCCCAGATTTCACATCTGTCTTGGCCGAGGGAGATCTGGCTACGAAATGCAGTCAGGTAATGTAACTGAGGGTCATATTTGCAGGTGTGAAAGTGTGACCTAAAGTTCAGTCAGGCTAGTCCTTAGGCGTTCTCTCTGCCTGTTGTCCTAGCAAAGTCTGAGAAAGGTTGAAAGCGTCTCTCCCCTCTTGGTTGCGTCACAACTCACGGCAGAGTCCAGGTTTGATTTAGCCAAGAACGCCTTAAGGCCTAAAGGTTGTATTCACACTATACCGGAGAGCTTTTGCACTGGCACGAAAAACATACCGGATAGGGTTTCTGTTCACACATAAAACAGTGATTTTAGTGCGATTTCTGTAACGGAGCGAAGCTGCGCCTCCCTGATCTCTAAAGGAGAGAGTCACATCATGGATTTGTGTTCATACTTTACCCAGCTTTTCATTTGGGCACCAAAGTAACGCTATCCGTCATAGTGTAAACATAGCCTTTGCTGAAGTCCTGTGACACGAGCTCTAACCTTAATGATAAAACCTTCAGTCACGCAGCTGCTACTTCAGTTTCAGCCGTCGGGAAAAATAAAGGAACTTATGCCTTTGCGAAATGTTCTAGTACCAGTATGATCGAATCAGTAAATACCTCTAACAAATTTTAGTAAGTTCAACGTTTTGCTAATTATCAGTCGTCCTTGTTTTTAGCTGAGATATATTAACTTGTTTGTTGTAAGCTCAAGAACAAGAATTTGCTTCATAGCAGAGGGCCATTTTTCTTAGTTTCTAATTAATATATATATGCATCACAGATCGAGTTAAGTCTTAAGAAAATAATTAAGTGCGCACATTATGGCTCTTGGTTAGCAGGATCATCGATCCGCGAAGATTGAAAATACGCATAGTATTGTATGTAAACTTCTTAGGAAAATGGCTAAAAGCATAATTTAGTATACCTACCAATAAAAGAAACTAAGATAGTAAGAGAGTGTATTCGGCATACCAACCTCATTTCAATAGACGAAATTATCATCCGGACAAATTATTGAAGAGGAATCCCAGCACCAATTTTTGAGAAAGAAATAACAAACAAACGAACAAACAAAAAGAAAAACACAAAAGCAAAAGATAGCTTTGCACGTCGACTCCTGGCAGCTTACAATTTCGATGCTTTATTCGCTATAACCTTAATCTCCTTTGAATTTCTACATGTGAGGCTTTTTACCATATTAAATATATACGCCAGACGGATTTAATTTCAACACATGGGATTTGTGTGGCGATTACACTCTTCAAGGTAACTTTTATAACATAATTCATATAAAGTGATTAAAAGCTCTTGGACATGCTCGCGAAAGCCATTCCAGTACACCTCAACTTTCCGATCTGTGAAACGAGAGCAAATAGAAATCAAAGATTGAGATGAGTTTAACTCTCACGTGATTGGCGTGCCTAGTCCTTGTGCGGCATTTTCTAGGCCTTCTCGGTCAATGCATTTCTGTGAAGTATCCAAGACTCAAAAACTTGCTAGACCACGTGATCCGAAACGCATGGCCGCGCACAATAATGAAGCCTAGGGACTAGGCAAAAGATTAGCTTGGTCGCTTGGTTAACCAACATGGCTGTCGTTCATTGTTTTGAAGGGCCGACCCGCACCTATTCCTAAGGTTTGTAATTGGCTGGAAAAACAATAGGGATGGTGCATGACAAAACAATGCCCCATATCCCTTAAAACAATAGGTAGTGCAGGTCATAGGGACCAATGAAATAAAAGGTTTGGATGGGTGCGGGTCAATCGGTTTTGGAAGTAAGACAAATAAGGCCGCCGCGACGTCATGTAAAAACGCACTTCCAAAAGCTACACTGAGCTGTCTGAAGAGTTGAGAATAGTGCGCTGAACTTTGGCTATTGCATTTGCAATCGCGAGCGCATATGTTAGTAAAAAAAAAAACAACAAAACAAACAAACAAAAAAAAAGAGCTTTTAAGAGGTAATTATAACCTATCCTAAAGGACCTTTTCTACCAAGTGTTGTTGTATATCCTTTTTGGGAAACGCACGTTGTAATAAAGAGCACTTTCTACACCAGCTTTGTTGTTTGTCATTTGTTTTGATGCCTCGTAGAAACCCCTGTGTTTCTTTAATACTAGAAATACGTGTATCGCAGAACCTCGCGAGGCTACCAAGAATCCCGTAGAGGGTGGTTTGCCTGGTAATTCTTGGTTGGGGTGTGCCGCCCGGTTCTCCTAATCTTGACCCTACAGTTTCAGACCAAAAAATGTCATTTTCCACACCTGTTTTCAGACCTGCCTGCACCCGACCCGGGACATCTGAGAAACGGGCCCCCTGGCCATTAAAGTCTATACCCTTTTTCGGACAACATAGGCAACATAGGCAACATAGGCAACACATAAGAACGCTCACAAAAAGATTTTTTAAAATCTATTTCCAGCGTCGGGGGAGCGAAATAAAGCAATAAAAGGTAGCCTCTGTCCTTCTTTTAGACGCCGACAATATTTTGGACCTCTCGGATGCAATCTTTAATGGCGCCGACAACAAAAACTACATAGGATAGCCTCCCATAGGGGGGTGAGGGTGGAGAGGGAGTGTTAATAAGAAAATTAAATGTCTCAATCCCACCGGCTATCAGCTATGTAAGTTGTTTCTTGTTTTAAACACACGAGTCGATGTTTACTTGAACTTCCCAAAGTACTGTTTTCAAGTCCTAACGAGTTGACCTTGGTAAAATAAAAGAACGTTATATATTATTCTACAAAAGTTAGGGGGCTGTGCCACCCCCCCAACAAAAAAGTGCCGCCAATGATTTCGAATTCGCATATTCCCCTTTCTTTCTTATTCATTTGAAGTTAAAATGACAAATACGCTCACACACTCCCGTAATTCCCTCGAAAACCATACCCGGTATCAGACAAAAATATATGGGCAAAATTTAAACATGTTTTCGGATCGAAACGGAGCAAAAACCACACCCTTTGGAGTAGTATGCGCACATACCTGTATCAGCCTATATAAACGAGGACCCGCGCCCCCTCGGGCCAAGAAACCCCTAGTAATTGCACGTTTACTTAGTTCCCCCCAAAAAAAAAAAAAAAAGAAAAAGAGAGAGAGAAAAAAACAGCAACCGACAACAACAACAACATCTGCTGTTGGTGACAACTACTTATTACTCCGCCCTGCTTCGTTACATGACTTATAAAGCGTGGCTACGATATGCAAATTTGTGCGTAGCGTGGTTTA